AATCAGCATAAGTGAAACTGCATTATTCACTTTATGTGATGCACTACTTATGTTTTTCTATTCTTGCAAATTAAATACAACAATCAACATAAGTGAAACTGCATTATTCACTTTATGTTATGCACTACTTATGTTTTTCTATTCTTGCAAATTAACTACAATAATCAGCATAAGTGAAACTGCATTATTCACTTTATGTGATGCACTACTTATGTTTTTCTATTCTTGCAAATTAACTACAACAATCAGCATAAGTGAAACTGCATTATTCACTTCATGTGATGCAGTACTTACGTTTTTCTAATACATTTTTTCCAAGGTATTTATCCACTACTTATGCAGTACGTATGATACAGACCAGCAAATAATTGTGTAAGTAAACCTAATAATTATGAAATTTCTTTTCACTAAGATCCAACAGATAATTAAAACAAATTACAAATGGTTAATCTGAGGGCGTACAGTCTCAACAAGTTCCCAAATTAGTCTGTCAAGCACCACCAAATCCGCAGTAAGAGGGATCGAAGAACCTATCTACTTCACAAATCCACCTACAACAAACGATAAAGAAATTCTGTCAAAATTATCTCTCCTATATTATTCACAATGCAAGAGAATAACAGTATATACATTCAAACAAGCCAAACCTTGGTTGAATATACATTCAAGCACATGTTTTACATATATTCTGAAGGTCGTTTCGGTGGCAGAGGCTGCGGAGGAGGTTAAGAACAGAGGTGTGGCGCGGTGGCTCACAGGGTGGCGTCCGGTTGACGAGGAGCTTTGGTGGAGGTTGGATTAGGGTGAGGGCTGACTTGGGGGGAGCAGTGAGGGGGCTAGGGCTCGCCGGGAGTAAGGAGGAGATACTGGCCGTGGGATTTGCAAGGTTAAGAGGAATGGGTGAGTGAGGCGCGAGAGTTAGGGTTATTTGGGGATAAGTGGCTCGACTGGGATGTATACGAAAATGAAAAATGTGGTTGTATATGATAGCGGTTCCACTGGAACCGCTCTTAAAGTTAACATCTAATAGCGGTTAAACCTTAACCGCTATTATATATTTTCAAATATGATCGATCATTTGAAAATGTAATCGATCATAATAAAAAAATGTGGTTGTATATGATAGTGGTTCCACTTGAACCGCTCTTAAAAGTGAACATCTAATAGCGGTTAAAACTTAACCGCTATCTAACATTTATCGCTCGAGCGAGACCAGTGTCGCTCAAGTGAAACACAACCCGAGAATGCCAATTTTGTGCAGGTGGCGTCGCTCGAGCGAGACCAGTGTCGCTCAAGCGAAATACAACCCGAGAATGCCAATTTTGTGCAGGTGGCGTCGCTCGAGAGATGTTATTTTCGCTTGAGCGACTGTTGACCTGCGTAACCGTCGATCAAAGTTAGCCAGATAATGTAACATGGGTGACCTCATGTTTGAATCGGATGTCGCTCGAGCGAGTATAGTGTCACTCAAGTGAAATACAACCCGAGACTTCACAATCTTAGCGGTTGGCGTCGCTCGAACGATGTGAAATTCGCTTGAGCGATATTGCAAAAATCAGATAAAATGATCGATTATTTTCTCATTATATCATAATGAAAACTTACATTAACTATTTTTTTGAATATTATGATTTTAAATTTGCTATTAGAGAAAACGTTTCGAGAATTCAAAATGTTAAATACTTTTAAATATTAAAATTAACTTTATCAAAAATTAGGAAGAAAAATTAATCCAAAAGAGTTCAAAAATGTATTATAATATTGTCAATTTTGAGTTTAATTATATTGTTCATTCTCAAAGTAGAAAAATATATTGTAATTATTTTAATTTAATAAAATATAATTTAAATTTTTAATACTAAAATTAAAAGATTAAATAATAATAAATTTATTTCTTTAAATTGAGTATTTAGAAACTAAAATTATAGTTTCTCTGTTTTAAAAAATTGAAATAAATATTTAAAAATAAAAATCAAAACTAGTATTATCTTAAATTTATTAACGAGTGTAATTAAATCTCTATTTTCTTAACTTTTTTTGTTTTAAACTTCTCAATTCTACATTTTTGTAAGTTCTATCATTATATTATCATCCTCATCTCCTCCCATGTTCTACTTTATCTTTACAATAGTTAATATTCTTAAATAATTTATATTTTTAATTATAATTTTTTAATATATATTTCAGAAATTAATCAATTATAATCTATTATTTGAAAAACTAATCAATTCTAATCAATAATTTAGAAAACTAATCGATTATAATTAATTATTTGAAAAAATTATCAAATATGATCGATCATTTGAAAATCTAATCGATCAGAATAAAAAAATGTGGTTGTATATGATAGCGGTTCCATTGGAACCGCTCTTAAAAGCGCACTTCTCATAGCGGTTAAACCTTAACCGCTATCTAATAGCACTACTTTATCTTTGAATCAGATATCGCTCGACCGAGACCAGTATCGCTCAAGCGAAATACAACCCGAGAATGCCAATTTTGTGCAGGTGGCGTCGCTCGAGCGATGTTACTTTTGTTTGAGCTAATGTTGACCTGCGTAAACGTCGATCAAAGTTAGTCGGATAATGTAACATGGGTGACCTCATGTTTGAATCAGATGTCGCTCGAGCGAGAATAGTGTCGCTCGAGCGAGAATAGTGTCGCTCAAGCGAAATACAACCCGAGAATGTCAATTTTGTGCAGGTGGCGTCACTCGAGCGATGTTATTTTCGCTTGAGCGATATTGCAAAAATCAGATAAAATCATCGATTATTTTCTCATTAGCGACCAATTTTAATTCGGTCACTATTTCAATTTGTAATTCAGTCGCTAAATCAGTCGCTAAATGATTTTTTTATTTATGTATGAAATAGTCACCGATTTAGCGACCGAAATTTTGCGACGCAAAATATTGGTCGCTATTTCGGTCGCTAAATAAAAAAGTGAAAACCAAATCATATTTTGGTCGCTAAATCGGTCGCTAATTGCGACGGAATTAAAGTGGTCACTAAATCGGTCTCTAATTGCGACCAAAATTAAATCGGTCGCTAATTTCGGTGGCTAAATGTGTTTTTTCTTGTAGTGAATTAAAAATAGTTATAAATAGAAAATTTTAATTATTCAAACTTCATTCTTACAAAATCACATTCTTTCTACATTTTCCTTTCTATGTGTTTTTATCTAACTTTCCCACTTTCTCTCTCTTTATTTTTTAGATCCAAGCATACTTTATTGCTTTTGGAGTAAAAAAGAACATTTCTAGCCAATCAAATCTTTCAATAGAGTAAGTTCCCTTTTACCAATTTTTAGACCATTTATATGTAAAATTAAGGGGTTTGCACGTGGGACTTAGAGTACATGTATGTGAGTTTTTTTGGGTAAAAATAAATTTTGATTAGTTTAAGATAATTATGATATGTTCAATTTGTTAATTTAAATTTTTTATAGGTAGGATCTGACTTCCTATGAGTTTAGGAGTTTTTAGAATCAAAGATTGTGAAATTGAGGTAAAAAAAACTAGTTATTCTTTAATTTCATAGTATTCTAGGTTAGAATTGTTTGCTTTGCAAAAAATTTGATTATTGATATTGTATCATACACTATGATTGAATATAAGTTGATTTAAAATAATTATGTGTGAAAGGATACGTGTGAAATGTTAGGATAAGATAACTATATTTGGACTAAGTGTAACATCTTAGAAAGAAATTGTATAATAAAATCTTAAAAGATTTGTTTTGTACTTTGAAATTGTATAATTGATATGTGCAGTACAAGTGAGAGCTCTTCTAAAGAGTATTTTCTCGCAAGTTAAAATATTTTGCTCAAGCGAAAAACTTCTATTGAAATGAGACTTGTTTGAGGTGTGTTTTCACTCAAGTGAGATAAAACTTGTTTATGGAATCATATAGATAAAGATCAAATTGTGAGAATTGATGGAGATTCCTCTTATTTGGTTTTAGGTGGGTATTTCACTAGTAATAGACAAGTATTAGGGATTTACTCTAGTCACATGTATAATAATGATATGATTTATGTGAATTTTAGTTGTTAATCAACTACGCGAGGAAGTATGGTAATATTTAGTCTTTAGGAAGTCATCTATAGTTTGTATGATGTTTATAATAAACTTGTTTGAATGTGATGTATTTATGTTTATGTGATGTTATAATAAGTGATATATCAATTCTATTATGGATTTTGTATAGTATTAATATACATGAAAATACATAAAATTATTGTTTTAGAATAAATTTTAATTTGACATATTTATTTAAATTACTAATTTACCATGTAAGCTTTGTATGGTGTTAAATATGATGATAGTGTGTTTATCTAAAAACAAATATAAGGATTAGACCTTAGTATAAATAATCATGAAATTGATAGGATTTTAAATGTTTTTATTATATTTTTATTTTTAAATATATGTACAAAATTTCTTAAATGAAAAAAAGTTTATATTTTAAAATATTTTTATATATAAATATTTATGATATGTATTTAAAATTATTAATGAAAAATAATTATGAGATATAAAATGTATATTTAAAGATTTTAATAAAAGAAAAATATTCACTATATGAAAAGTCTTCGTCTATCTTAAAAAAAAAAAAAACATACAAACAAATATCAGTGGTTGAAAAACTAAATCAACTGTAGTTTCCCGAAGAAACCAGTTCATACAAATAACATAAACCAATCTTGAAATAATTTAACCTAAAAAGTTAGATCACTATAGCTTTCATTTGAGTTGAGAAACATAAGGATGAAATACGGCGGTGACCAAACCAAACAAAGTACTTGCCAATCCCAAGAAGCCAAAGAGGGTTACAACTGTTAATCTTAGCAGGACACGCAACCTAGGTACGAATTTGTTTCCCTTCATCTTTATTTAGTCACATATTTCATGTACCATGATATAACTTTTAATATTCTAATTAATCACATTAACGGTACAAATTCTTGGTTGAAACCGTGTTTTAAAACTGCTGAGAAAGGTTCACGTAAGTGGGGCAGGATTAGTTGAATGTGGGTTTCAAACATTTTTAAAAGGAGGGGTTCATGTTTATGCTTCTAAGACCCACAAAATGAGTACGGTGTTCAAATCCTTCAACCCAACATCACTTATTTCAATTTTTTAACCCAACATCATTTCTTCAATTCTATCACTTAATGTCAAAATCTTGATCAAAAAAATTTATTACGAAATCTATCACTTGTAAAATATTCAAAACAAATTAATTTATGTTGAATATTTTTATTCTTTGTATTTTTTTTAAGTAAATAAAGTTGTGGATGGATAAGAGTTTTTTTTCCTTTTGAAACTTTTTGGAGTATATTTTTTAATGGAAACCTAATGGGACGCGTGGTTAATGTGAAGAAGAGAACAGTGGCAATTGACAGGTAAGAGTTAAAACTTGTCAAAAGTATAAAGAATTAAGTAGTGGAATTTAGTTTTGTTTTTGGGGTTCGATGCAGTGTAGTTAATAAATTCGACAATATTTCTTTGTTTTTTCTGTTTGTCTTTGGACAATGACTTGCTTCGTGTAACGGAACTATACCACCCTGCCGGGATGTTTGAAGAGCTCCTATCTTCCCTTTTTAATTTTAAAATAATATTTAACACTTTCTCAATATTTTTAAAATCATTAATATAATTTATTATTGCATGAAATAGTAATGGATATGTTTTTATATATTTTTTATTTAATTATATTTTAATTTCAATTTTAAAAATATTAATCTCATAAATTTAGTAAATTATAGATTTAATATATTAAATTTAATAAAATGCTTTATCGGTTTCAAAACATATTTCCTTTAAGATTAGGCTATTATAAGCATTAATTTTTTTTATTAATATCTCTTATCATTTTAATATTCTCTTTAATCAAAATATTCTTAAGTAATTTGTTATCTTTGTAATAAATATAATTAAAAAATCAAAATAGAATTAATAAAAGGATAATTAATACAATCTTACTGAAGATTAATATAATAAATAATATTTTTAAAAATATATTGATTAATTTATTTAAGTAGACTTTTTACCATTTTTTATACACGAAGAATAAAATTATCTAATAAAAAATAGTTATTTTACTCTCTTTTCTTTCCTTTTCTTTTTTTTCCTCCTTTTCTCTATTTTTTCGTTTTTATTATTATTTTTCTTTTACTTTCTCTTATTTTTAAATTAAAAATAATATATTAAAATTTGATAAAAATATGTTACAATATTATTTTAATTATAGTAAAATATTTATTTTAAAGTATTTTTTTAAAATAATTTTTTAAAATTACTAAATCTGATAATTAAATCTAACTATGCCTATATTAAATTATTAAATAAAAATACAAAATATTTAATATTTTTTAAATAAATGAATAATTAATTTATTATGATAAAATAATTTTAAATAAATTATTTACCGTCGTCAAAAATAAATATTTTTATTATTGTTATAATTATATAATTAATTCATTATTTTAAAATTTTAATCTTAATTTAAAAAAATAATTTGATAAATTTTAATATAATATTTTTAGTTCCAAAATAAGTAATAGAGAAAAAAATATAAAAAACTAATAAGAAAAAAAACCGAGAAAAAAGAATATAAAATAAATAATTTTTTTATAAAAAATAATGAATATTTTATTTCAATATTTTTTATTTTAAAATATATTATTTAGAACATTTTCTTCCAAGTCATACATTTAGAAATTATCAAAACATTTTTATTTCAAACGGTGGGAGTATAATTTTATTGAGAGACTAAAAATACATTTTTTTACTTTAGATCACTATCATTCTTTAAATTTAATAATTAGCGGTTAAAAAAACTTTTTATTTGAAAAAGACTAAAATATTGTCGTTAAAAAAATTAAAGATCAAATTATAAATTTTTTTCCATTAACCTTTTCTTTTTACTCGTAATTCTCCGTTCTCTCATTCATCACTATTCCTTTCATTGTAACGTTATGTTTGTTTGTCTTCGTCTTATGTTGAACATTCCTTTCTTCTTCACTCACTTTTCTTCTTATACTTTAAGTTTTATTTTTAATTTTTTTTATAAAAATAATTTTTTTTGTCAATATATTTATAATTATGTCAATATTATTCTGTTAAAAATGATTATCAATTTAGGAACTTACTACATGAAATGATTTGTTGAATTTTATTCAGACTATTGGGAGAAAAATGAATTTGATGTTACTAAACATTCTTTGTAATATATATAATATTATTATTTTTTTCTATAAAACTTTATTATTTTCATAGCATTTTACCACGGACTCAATGTTATTTGCTTATTATTTACATGGATACACTTTATTAACATTAATAATTGATATAGGTTAATAAAAGTTCTTATTGTTTTTCCTATATGCGATTAAAAAGTTTACAAAATGTAATAGAAACAAATTTTCCCTATCACACTGTGTATTGTATTAGACATTTTCTCCTTTTACAATGCAAATGATGAACAAATAAAATTATTGTTTACATTGTGTATGACAACTAATTTCCAATTTGTATTATATTTACTTTAGTGATGACACAAAGAAAACATTTTAGGTTTAGGATATTTTGGTAAAACAAGATAGGGTGTAGAAATAGAATAAAGGGTTGTGAGAATAGTACTTGTAACAGGCTTTTGATGTTGAGTCCAGTCTATAAGCCCAAAATTATTCTTAAACATTCTTTAATCTTCATCCAACTCCGAAACACCCTCCAATTAGGTTTAGTATTACAGATCAACTTTGCAGAATAATGTACAATACAAATGTTAATCTTCTTTTTTTTTTCAATTTTTTAAAATATTATATTTTGTTCCTTCCCTTTTCATTTATTTAGTTACTTACTTCTCACACTTCTTCGTTTTCTTTTTTGCTTAGTTCAATTTCATCTCTGCCCGTGATATCTCAACTCTCACATATTCTCCAACAATGGAAAAGGTAGCATGTACCCAATTCTTGTGAGTGTCTAATTCTTAATCAATGTTATTTCTTCAATTATAACTTAATTTATTGTTATTCCCAATCTCATATATGGAAACTAGGGTTTATTTGATTTAATTTTAGTTTTTAAAAATAATTTTAGTAAATAAAAACGGTTTTTGAGAATAAGCTAGAAAAAAAAAACATTTTTAATAATGATAGTTTAAAAACTGTCGCGGGAATGAAAAATTGAAAAAACTTGATTGATAAAACTGTTTTCAACCACGGTTTTAAAAAAAGAAATCGTCTGATGATAATTTTTTTATTAATTATTTTTGATAAATATATTTAATTTTAGTTTTATTAAATATGAATAAGATATTTTAATAATGACAAAAAAAAAAACATAAACAAACAAGAATGAGATGGAAAAAAATGGACTAACAAAGTATGAATTTTAACTAGGCTTTTAAATATTAAACACAGGTAAAAGATATATATAAACATATTATGAAATATTTCAGTTCGAATATGAAGAGTTTCATTTTTTAAATATTTATAACTTTTCCATTGAAAAACTAAAAAAAAAAATGCTTAGAACAACTAAAAAACAAATTATATTTTTTTTTAGTTTTTAAGAACTTAAGACCTAGTGTAGTTTTTAAAATTATTTTAATAAAATAATTATCAACTAATTTTCTTGGTTTTGAAAAAAAATTAAAATACTGATAACTATTTTTAAAAATAATAAACACATAAGTTTTGAGTTCCTGATTTAGTGGCTCGTAAATATTTATTTCTCAATATTTTTAGCCACCTCATCATTGTCTAATTATTATTATTAAAAAAAGTTTTCATTGTAAAAAGCTATTTCAAAATGAATTGTTAGATTATTTCACAAAATTCATTATGGAATGGTAAACCTCCTTACAAGTCTTTGGAAATGGTTTTTGAAAGAATATTAATTCGTCTAAGATATGATAATTTTTTTGGAAGTCTAATCAAGTTTGATAAAAACTTAACAATTTGATTATTTCATATCTTCATGATGTGAGAGAGGATCTTAACGGCGTAGGAAGAGAAGAAAAAGCGAGCTTGATACATTAGTATAGTAAGATGAATTTTTTTCTTTCTTATTTTGTAGACAAAAATATTTTTAACAATGATTTATGATTTATGTTTCCCTAAAAGATATTTAAATCCTCAAAATTTAAATATAAAAAGAGAGAAAAATTTATTTTAACCTACTTGAGTGGTGGGTAGAGAGAAAGTTAAATTTTTTAATTGATTAAAAAATTATTTCAATTAATTTTAAAAAAATAAAATCCTTGAAATAATAGGTAAAATATTTTTAATTTAAATAGATTTAAAAACATTTTTAAATGTTTCCATGGAATGGAGTGATAGATGCTAAGATTATTGATAAGATCCTCATGATTTGAACAAACTATTTAATTGTGTTGAACAAATAATTTGATATTGTGATCAATGGTAAAATGGATAGTTCATATTGATTAGTAAAAATTTTGACTGTTCAGTTTATTTTTTTATTTTTTCTAATCTAATCCTATGTTATACTAATAGGTCAATCATATTTGTTCTAATTAAAATTTTTTTAAAAATTACAATTTGTCCATATAAAAATAATTAATCTAAAAAAGAAAATGGTACGATTAGCTACTATAGAAAAATGTATAATTATATACCTTTCTAAGGTAGAAGTTGTTATACATTAAGAATCACAACAAATGGTCACAAAGATTAAAAGTTTATTAGGATTAGCTAACCACAATCAAAAGATTATTGAATAAATTTTCCACTTGACATTATCGTTAATAAAGTTGACTCAAAAAAGAGAAGAATTTGTATGGAATGAAATATGTGAAGAGTGATTTCAAGAATTAAAGAAAAGGTTGACCTTGTAGCCTATGTTTATTTTATCAGAGTGAAGAAGAAGAAGAAGAAGTTTAAAGTGTATTGTGACGCATTGAGGCAAAAACTTTGAAGCATGTTTATGAAAGAAAGGTGATTGGTTACACTTAAAGACAATTGAGAATTAATGAAGTGAATTAACCAACTCATGATTTGAGGTTAGATGTTGTAGTTTTTGCTTTAAAATTCTGGATTATTTATATGGATCTATATTTAAAGTATTCAGTTAACATAAAAGTTTGAAATACTTGTTTGATCAAAAGAAGTTAAACGTGAGATAAAAGACATAAATAAAATTTCTTAAGGATAATGACTTTGCAGTATCTTACCATCCTGATAAGGCTAATGTAGTAACAAATACTTTGAGTCAAAAGTCTCCACATAATTTTACCGTGATTGTAAAAGAACTTGAGTTGATTGATGAATTCAAAGACTTAAATCTAGTCAGAAGAGAGACCTCGTAGTTTATTTTAAGAAGTTTGAATATTATCAATAATCTTTTAAAACGAGTGTGAAAATCCCCAACAAAATGATGAGATAGTATCTTAATGAATTTTGTTTCAGCCTTGTCAATGATTAAATCTAGTTAAGATGTTATGAGTAATCGTGGATAAATTAATCAAATTTGTTCACTTTATACCTATCAATATGAAGTGAAAGTTAGAAAAACTTGTATATTAGAGAGGTCATGAAGTTACAAAGGTACCTCCTAGTATTATTTTAGATAAAGAGCCATGTTTTATTTATAGGTTTTGGGTATGCAAGAAGCCTTAGGGATTAAACTAAAACTCGGTTCATCTTATCTTCCTCAAATTGATGACCAAATGAAAAGAATCATTCAACCATTAGAGGACCTTTTGATAGTTTGTGTGATAGAACCAAATGGTAGTTGAAATTAATATTTTCCTTTAGTAGATTTAGAATTGAATTCCTAAACAATTATTTATTAGATGTAAATGATTAAAAACATTAAAAATTGAAGAGTATTAATTAAATTTAATTATGATAATTCAATCATTCAAATTATTATAATATCTTATTTATTTTAATTATAATAGTCTATAATTTGATTAAAGGAATACATATAAAATATACTAAATTTTATATTGATGTGGGGGGAAAATATTATACTATAAATATAGTAAGTAATTAGTATAGGTGAAATTTTAAATTTAACTTGATAACATATTACATTTCTAAGCAACAATTAAATTATCAAATTTTGGGTCATGTATATATATGATACATAATTTAAATGTGTTAGAGTCATTATTTATTAAGCCAAATAATAAAGTGATCTGACTAAATTAAAAAGTTTGGCTAAAGACATATGTCATGAAAATAAAATTGTGTAGAGATCATAGAGCAATTTCTAATTTGATGAGGGGCCAAATTGGAAATACTAAAACTTAAGTAATTAACCTAATTCTGGTTATTTAAAGGGTCATGGTCCCCTTCTGGGAGCACACACATAACGTAAGTCTCAGTTCCCGTTCCTTTCTTTCTATCCCCATCAAGAGAGAAAATCAAGAGGGAAATACATGTGCTATTCAGGTGGAAGACCATAAGATCAATAAAGTGCTCTACAAAGACATCATCATTATGGCTAATTCAGGTACGCTTTCGTATTTAGTTTACAACATGTTTATCAGTATGGGATTACGTTTATGTTTGATCATTAGAATCAAAATCAGGATTATTATTATTATTAGTTTACCAACAATTGGTATCAGAGCTGCTCATACTTGATTCATGTTTGTCTTAGGAAATTTTTAAAAATTCAGATTTTATTTAATTTATAAAATCTCAATTTTCGTGAACCCTAAAATTTAAATTTGGGGGTAACATCCCCAATCTACTTCTACTCGTTGATGGAACCGTGGAGGAAGCTATGAATTCTTCTTCTTCTTCGTTTTTCTCTTTTGTTTCGGTTTAAGTTTTAAGTTTTACTGAGAAAGAAATAGTGTTTCAAATTTCAATCTTTCTTGTATTAGATTCTCTGTTCTTTTTTGAATCTTTTGTTTTTGTTTTTATTTATTTATTTTTTTCGGGTTTTGTTTTCGCTTTCTTTTCATGGTGGATATAGATGGGTTTGAAATTGGGGGTGGTGTTTGAGGAGTTCCCAACACAGAGGATCTTAGGTAACTGGTGAATGTGTTTCCTCAGGTGTGACTGTTATTATTTTATTGTCTTTATCCTCTGGGGATTTAAGGAAAGTTGATGTTAAATTCCCTGTTTAGGGTTTGAGTGATTACTGTTTAATCCCCTTTTAGGATTTAGAGCAGTGTGTTAAAGAGGGTCATAACTATCTCTATTTCATCCCTAGTGTGATTTTAGGGAGATGTTCTTCTTTTATGTGTTGGTGAAAAATGAGGTGTTTTTCATCCTTTGATTTGTTCAAAGGAGATGTTCATCCCTAGTGGGATTCTAGGGAGGTGTTCATCCTTAGTGGTATTCTAATGAGGTGATTGTCTTTTGAATTAGTTTACAAATATTAAATATTTGGTTTTGTTATATAAATAAAATATTCAATTTTTTGGTAGTTTAATATTTTTTGTGAGCAAATTGAGTCAAGAAGTCACCAAAGTAACCTCTCTTGAATTGGCAGTTCATGAAAAATATTAAATGTTAATGTTTGTGTTATATTCATGCGAGTATTAGTCGGCCCAAAGGAAGATTAATATTTGGCCGAATTACATACACACTTGTAATGATAAACATGTGATAATTATAAGGATTTGTTTTATCGATGATAAATCAATCCAAATACTGGTTTGTTGTTAGACGTGTTTTATTGTCAATGTTTGATTATTACAACAAGATCCCTCTAGCAATTAATATTACTCGTCCAAAGACTTGATATTGATGGTGCATTGGGTGTATTGAGATGTGTTAAACCATCATTTGAATATATATTTATAATTATTTATTTTTTATATAATGTGAGCATAATTAGTTTATTTCCCGTATTCTAAATTCAGCTACAATTGCTTCTGTATCTGCCAATTTAAATTCTGTTTCAATCCTCAAAAGTATGTTTCCTACTTTGGTCTGTTGTGAAGTCAATTTAGCATCAGTACCTAGTA